TCATTAGTACTGTAATATGAGAAAGGTTTTCTAAATCCTGGGTAAAGATGAATTAAGTAGTGCTGCAATTTTTAGGTAGCAATTTTTCACACATCTTTATGAGAATCAGGAAGAAAAGTTACAAAGAACAGCTGGACCTCTCACTCTGATCCAGCTGCACACATTCAACTAATTGGGGCAGAATGTGAAATAGGACACATATACGTATACACATTGCATTAAGAAGAATGCAGTGCAGATTAATGGCATTTGTATCTGAATTTGAGTATCACCCATCATGTGGATTCTATCCATAATACATTACTTTCATTAGTATGCAGATCTAAATGCATGCTTCACTGCTCAGTGGTTGATGTATCTGGCTGCAGAGCCGGAGCTAGAGGCTGGAAATTTGATTCCCCACAGTGCCTCTTTGACAGAGGCTTGACTTGATGATCCATAGGGTCCCTTTCAGCTCTGCAGTTCTATGATTATGTTCACCATTTCCATTGGTGTAAGTGCTGACCAAGGCACTACAGAAGATGTGTCTCTTTATTGCTTTCTGTCACTGCAGAAGCTGGTAGGACAGTTTATTGAGTCACTCCAATTGGTTACTTCTGGATTAGTGTTCCAGCATCTAACTGGAAGCACAGAAATGAATGATGAGTGAATGGCCCTGGCCCTGAGAACCGACTTGGTATTTATGAGCTTTCCCAGAGAATTGTTAGAAAAAGCTAATCTCTATCCAAATATTGCTGTCCTGGCTTGTAACATACATATGCATTATTGCATTATCCTCTAAAAATGTTAGTTAGTCTTCACACAAGCCATGGGAAAAAATGTCTGGATAGCCTTGCTCTCTACTGTCTTCACACAAGCCATGGCAAAAAAAAATGTCTGGATAGCCTTGCTCTCTACAGATAGACAGGAGGGCAGTATGTATTAAATTTACCCACCATAAAATGATTTGTGAGAAATTTACTAGAGATTTGTTGGAATCCAAACTGATATTTAGCAAATGGTCTTGCCACATATCCCTTCTTGGATGCACAGTTTAACATGGAGAAGGGGTCTGAGTGTGTCAGTAATGCTGAGAACAATACCATCAGGAGGACTGACTTCATTTTGAGCCTGGACTCCTAGCAGGGCTATCCAGGACAGAACAATCACAGCTGAGGCACCAGACTAAGATGCATCCACCTTGTTCAAAGGCAGCTACTGGGTAGCAGCAGTAGCTGAAAGTGACACTGGCAGAGAAGGCAATGGCAGTGACACTCAGGCTAACTTTTCTTAGTAGTGAGCAGAAGGTGGCAATGGCAAGTCCCACTGACCTTTCCTTACCATGAAACTCTATGATGAGACAGTCTGAAATGAAAGAAGAGATAGCACTGGAAGATGAGATTCCTAGGTGGGAAAGCACTCAATCTGCTACAGGAGACAAGTACAAATAGCTCTGTAGCTAGCTAATGATGCAACTAGATTAAAGCCAAAATGACTATGGAAAAGACAATAATGGCTGATATGCACATGACTCTCTGGAAAAGACAATAATGGCTGATATGCACAGAAGTGAAAGGAAAGTCTGATGTTGCACAACACATACAATTGGAACATGAGCAGTATGAATCAAAGTAAACTGTAATGCAAGAAATGGAATGTGTAACAATTACAGTGCTTGATATTAGTGAACTAAAATGGACAGGAATAGGATATTTTCGAAAACTACAATGTGTTCTACTCTGGAAATGACAAACCCAGAAGAAATGGTGGGTCTCAGCACTTGATTGTTCTGATGTGTAGAAAAGAAGCTACCACTGAGAATATACAGAGACTGAATGATTTCCTATGGGCAAGTGTCAGACAAGGGTGCATTCTATTCCCTTATCTCTTCAGTCTGTATGCAAAACATATCATGCAGTAAGTCAGACTAGATTTAGATAGAGCTGTAGTGAAAACTGGTAGAAGAAACACAGATAATTTAAAACACTGGTTCTTAACCTTCAGTTACTCAGGAGTTTTGGACTGCAACTCCCAGAAGCCTTCACCACCAACTGTGCTGGCTGGGGGTTTTGGGAGTTGCAGTTACAAAACATCACTAGATTTAGATAGAGCTGTAGTGAAAATTGGTAGAAGAAACACAGCTAATTTAAAACATGCAGATTACACCATCTCATTGGCAAAAGGAGCAATGATTGAAATTACTTTTAATGAAAATGAAAGAAGAAAGTGCCAAAGCAGGATTGCAGTTGAACATTAAGTAGACAAAAATCATGACTACTGAAGAACTACACAACTTTAACGTTGACACTTAAACAAATGAAATAGTGAAAGTTTTTGTATGCCTTAATTCATCAATTCAAATGGAGATTGCAGCTAACTTAAAAAAATGAAATAGCGAAAGTTTTTGTATGCCTTAGTTCATCAATTCAAATGGAGATTGCAGCTAAGAAATCAGAAAAAGAATGACACTTGGAAAGGCAACAATGAAGAAATAAAAAATATCATCAAGTAGAAGGATGTTTCACTGGAGACCAAGACCATCCACACTTTTGTACTCCAGATCACCATGTATAAGTGTGAAAACTGGACAAAAAAACCTGACAGAAAAAAAACCCTGATTCATTTAAGTTGTGGCTCCAGATCACCACGTATAAGTGTGAAAACTGGACAAAAAAGAAAGCTGAGAGAAAAAAAAACCCTGATTCATTTAAGTTGTGGTGTTGAAGGAGACCTTTGCAAATGTCCTGGACTATCTCTGGAGGCAAAAATGATGAAACTGAGGCTGTCCTACTTTGATCATATCATGAGAAGGCAAGACTCTCTGTCTGAAAAGACAATAATGCTGGGAAAGCTGAAGGCAACAGGAAAAGAAGACGACCAAATATGAGATGGAAAGACTCCATAAAGGAACCCACAGTCTTGAGCTTACAAGAGCTGAGCAGGGTTGTTGAGGATAAGGACATTTTGGAGATCGCTTATTCATAAAGCTGCCATAAGTCAGAGGCAATCTGATAGCATGTAACAACAATTTGCCACACAATTCACAGCAATCAATCACACGTTGAGCATAAATATAGTTAGGATCATCAGGTGAGACCTTTCTTTCAGTCCCACCAACCTCACAGGCACAGTGGGTGGGGACACAGGAGAAGATTTTGGAACTCCCTCCCACGGGAGGCCTGACTGGCCTAATCTCTGCTATCCTTCTGCAAGCAGGCAAAGACCTTTCTCTTCAGACAAGCTTTTCCTCAGTGACTGGCTACATGAGTGTGACTTTGACATGGATTGTTATGCATTACTGCTCTGATTAGGTCTTTAGTACTACTTGCCTTTACCATCTCACTGTGGTATTTGTTCCTTTTAAATATTTGTATACTTGTTTTAGATTTAATATTGTCTTGTAATGATGTAAGCTGCCTCTGTATACTCATTGTTCTCAGCTTTAAATATCGTATTTTAATGACGTAAGCCACTATTGTATACTCACTGTTTTCAGCTTTAAACATCGTCTTTCAAGGATGTAAACTGCCTTGGGTCCTTTTTAAGGAGAAAGCTGGGATACAAATATTTTAAATAATAATAACAACATGAATAATAACATGAATAATAACATGTACCTAGAAGGCAGCTGGATTTTTTTGTAGTGCATGCCATTTCACAGCAGTAATTGAGAGTCTGACAAGAAGTAAAAGATTACCTTTTTAAAAAAAGAGCATATTTTGTATATGGTCCTTGCAAGATTCCAAAAGTACTAAATCTTAGTTCACATTTTAAGCGAAAGAAGAACTTCTGGACAAATGGACATCAACTTATATCTGATAATTATGAGCTGATAAATGTATAGTGTCAACCAGATCAATTATAAACTTTTGGGCAACAATTCTATTAGTTGTGATGCACCCCTATTCCTGGCACTTCCTCCCCAAGCAGAGTGAAAAGTCCTATCTTAGCTAACTATTATTTCTACAGATATGTTATGGTTTCTGCATTTCCAAAAGAAACATTTGATTTTTCAAAACCAAGGCCTCTTTTACACACCTTTCCCATCATATATTGTATGGATCAGATGAGACTTATTTCCAATTTTTAAACTGCAACAATGAAGACTTAACACAAGGCCATGAGAAAAGACAATAAGGAAACCGGAAGATCCAGTAACAAATGGAGACTTGCTAACCATCTCATCTCTTCTTTGTCATAGTTCCACAGCTCATCCCATTATTGGATTAAATTGAAAACTAAGTGGCTGGTGGTTTTCTCTTATACACTCACACACTTCTGCCAAATCACTAAAGCAAAACACACACACACAAAAAAAAAAACCCTAGTAAGATGTTGTATTTGGTGATTCCAAATTCTTCTGGAAATCTGTAGGATTTCCCTGTTTATTTAAGGTGACATTCAATACAAAGTTCCACTGATGTTTTAATGGGAGACGTTAAAGCTTGACTTTACATTTATCAGTACACGACCTAAGAGCGCTCACCACTTCGGAAGGGTCAGTAATCCAAAACCAGCCATTTCTATATGCAGCTGCCGAACGGATTCTGCCAATCTTGAAAATATGCACCTTCTCATTCACCATCTCCAGGGCTTCTCAACGGGAAGATCTATTTTACCCATTCGGGTTGAAGACAAGGCAGAAGTCCTGTGCGGACCCTAATTCAAAACGCTCAACATTTTAAAGCACGCGGTGGAAGTGCCTGCAACTTTGAGGGATAGCGTGGGAAGGGAGAAGAGGCGTGCAGAAGAGGTGGATGCGGGGACGAGGGATCGAGGCCGGAGCAGCAGCAGCAGCGTCCGCATCTCCTGACCGTCGGCAACCTTCAGCTGGGGAGGCTACCGGGTAAGCGAACAGGCTACCAGGGTGCGCGCGTGCGGGGCGTCCCTTGGAAACTGCACGGCCAGCCTAGCGGCGGCAGGAGGAGGAGGGTCCTTCGCGTGCCCCCTCCCTCCGGAGCCCTCCACGCCCGCCGCGTGCGCTCGTCCAGTCCGAGCCAGCGCCTCTGGTGTACAGAGGGCGGCAGAGGGAGGAGGGAGAGACGGGTCCGGCCTGCCCCTGGGGCGGGGCGGTCGGTCGGGAAGACAACAACCCGAACCCGGCGGCACGAAGGAGCAGCTCGCTGCCGGAGGGAGCCGCGCCGAGTCCAGCCCAAGCAGCTTAGTAAGTCTTGCCCGCCGGGTCGGGTC